TTAGGGTAGATGTTAAATAGAAACATCAAGCATACTCTCAGTGTACAGGAAGCTAATTAATTAAATTGCAGGACAACAGTTAGCATACGCACATAGTAGTCAGGCATTATATTGATGGTCACACAAAGTAGAAGCTAGTTATTAAATTTACAGAAGAACCTGAGGTGCTTCATTCCAAGGTCAGCTCTGCGACCGATGTAAGGAAGGGATGGCCTGGAAATGGTGTGTGTAGAAGCCAGCATGCTAAACGTACATCAGCCAGCCTGAGAACTGTGGTGGATTTCTACAGATGTGTCTGACTTCCTCCCTGGAGCTCAATTACAAGCATTAGAGCAAAAGAAGGTAACCCATCCTCTCTAATTCAATTCTAACCCAATGATTGCAAAACTAATCCACCCTGTTGGCAATTTGTATTTTAATACAATGATTAAATAATCCCATGCAAAGCAATCTAGCTTCAGGCAGGTTAGACGCTGAATGATATCCCAGAATATTCAGTCCACTTTCTTGGCAATGGGGGATGAGAATGCAGGTGCAAAGAAAGACTTTAAAGTTGTTTGTCTTTTTTTTTTACTTCTGCTGAGTAGTCTAACTGCTATGTCATGGGAGTTACTGATTACAAAAAATCTATGGACAGGGATATTCTCCAAGTTCATCTTTGGCACCTTGCAGTCTCTTGCAAAGGGAGCCCAAATATCTGAGTAAAGATATGTAAAGCTTGTTATTAAGTGATGCAATGGATCACATCCTGCTCGTAAAGGTACCTCTGTTTTTTTTTCTCCCCAGCAACTCTTGTAAACATCAAGGAGGGTAACAGCTAATTACTAAGTAGCACTGTAGGTGCATTCACTGCAAGAGCCCTTGTAGTTTTAAACAGACAAAAGCCCATTGAGTTTAGGATAGTGGGGTTTGGTTTGGCTTGTTTTTTTAATCCTGATGATGATGGACAGGCTGTGGAGGATGAGGAGGGAGCTGAACACCGTTCACCATGCTGAGCCCACAGCCTGCTCAACAGCCGCCCTCTCGCCGCTGTCAGTGCTGCAGCTTGTAGGTGTCTCCTGAAGAGTGGGCCCACACCATGGATGTGCTCCAAGTAGGTGAAGCCTGCTAAGACCAGCTGTTGCCAAGCTGACTTTGATGTGTTTGCACCAAAATGAAGCAGAGTATAGTTTAGAAGCAAAATGTCCTCTTGAAGCACAAGGCACTATCCTGTCCTTGTTAAAACCAGAAGGGCTGTGCATTCAGGGGATATCTCAGTTCGCATCAACAAAGATAACACACACCTATAAATAGCAGAAGAGACCCCTATCAGATACTGGCTCTGGTTTTGTTTGGTTTGATTTTTTTTTTTTCAAGTGAAGCTTAAAAAAAGCATTCAGAAATGTACACTATGCTGCTTGCTGTATTGATACATCTTCAGGATGCTTTTCTTCCCCTACCCAGAAAACAGCTAAGTAGATTTTCAACTTTAGCTCTAGGAAACTCTTACTACAAAACTGTTTCTTCCCTAAAATAGAAGTTGTGTCCCACTAAGTTATTTTTTTCTAAAACTGGTGATAGCACCTTACCTTATCCCCATAAGAGTCTGAATGTATTTTTTGGCAATAATCATATTCTGTATCCTTGTAATTTAATCAGTCGATCACTCAGCTCACCCACTCAACAGTAATGAGCCATTAACCCTGTGGTTTCAGACTGGATCAATGCGGTGCTTAAGTTTTGGACACCTGGAGGCTTTGTGGAAAAAACTCTTAACTTACTTTAGACGTGATCAATTTTTCCTCTGATGTGTTGATTACATTAGCAGATTGCTTCCCTAGAAACCTTTGCCCAACAGTCTGGGGGCAATGAGCAGCATATGCTTAAGTTTCTTGCTGGAGATGGCATTCTTAAGCCACTTACTTGGGTATTTAAGGGTTTTCAGGTATATTATACAGTTCATTGTTCTCAGTCTTATTCACCTGCAGAAAAAACTTAGCTGAATGTGGCCTGACAAGTGGCAGCGTAGACACTACTGCCTACCGTGCCTCCACTACTGATGCTGTTGGCTGGACACTTCAGAGGTTTCATACTGCTGTCTCTCTGGACATACAAATGTTCCAATCTCCAGCGCTCCCAGCTTTTCCGAAACTCCATCTGAACCTGACAGAAGTGAAGAAGGAATCAAAAGGAATGGATGTAAAACTATTCAGATCTTTAAATGACTGCATTAGAAAACAGCAAGGAAAAAATAAAGATACCACACTACCGAGAAAATCTGGCAGCGCTTTAAACCTGCAATATTATTGCTTCAAATTATCCAATTCTCATTACTCCATTGTAGGGTATTCCATATGTAAAATAATGACAGCATTCACTTTTACTTGTAGAAATAAAGCACTTTTATGCACCAGGAAATCTTATCTTCATTATTTTATTCTAAATTGTATTCAGCTGCAATACTGAATGTACTCTCTGTCCTACCAGTACTAACAATTAAGTTGATTTTGCTTATCAGCCATGAAATGACTGAAAAGACTGGCTTTCTGCTCAGTACTGTCACCACAGGTATTCTTAAGAGTACTTTTTTGCCTTCTGGTTTGAATAAACAGTATTGTCTTGGATTATTTTTGGTCTGAATATTTAGGCTGTTTGTTTGTTTGTTTTTCAAAATGAAAATCTTCAAAAATGAAGACTTATTCAGAACTGAAAAAGCAACAATTAAGCACGTTAAAGGCTGTACTTCCTACCCCTGCTTTTCAGATAGCATTTACAGTATCTTATTCTAGATACTAGATTTTTTTTAAAGCTGCAAAATGTGCTCATCCAGTCACAGGTTCTAGGTTAAACTGTGTAACCTCTGTACTTCATTTGGAAGTTCATCCAGGGTCTCGTAACTGCTGAACAAGAACAAGATTTAGATCTTCTTGTTACATGGGCAAAGTTCTTGCCACTTGACTGAAGTAAGAACCTCCATTAGCTTTTAACACATGAGGCAGTGGACATAAAATTGAACCTTTTTTTACTCTAGAAAAAGGCAGAAGTGCAATGACAGTAATCAATTCATTATGGTGTGTACTTCAGCCTGGAAGTAAGTTCACTATCAGTGAGTTACTCAAGTGAATCTTCTCTAGAGAGTTCGTATTTGCTTCCTTTTAGGGTCCACCAAGAGACTAAATGGGCTGATGGCAGTTTCAGCACAGGCTTGTCATCACACCCGGACCTTCATACTCTGAGGGAAACTTCCTAGAGAACCAGCTGCCGTATGCCCTTCTCCTTGCTTCTTCACTGTGAAATACTGTATCTGGGAGGCAGCCCTGAAAAGGGAGCAAAGCTTTGCATACCCGATTGCCTTCCTTTGGTGGTTACCTCCAGCAGTGCTCATCAACTCTGGGCTACAGCCCTTGCACTGAATACCATTCTGGTGGGAACTGGCTGCACCTCTGTGTTTCTGACAATGGAATTTGTCTCTCTGTATCACAACCAAGTGGGACAGAAGGAAAGATGTGGAGACAGAACCTTGTATTTTACCATGATAACTGTGGGTCGTTTTGTCAAAAGCTGCACAAAGACACCAGAAAAAACACAGTGTATCTGAGGTAGCCTGGCATAGAAGAATGAGGGAGAACAGCCTGATAAATACAGAAAAGGAAAGAGTAAAAAGCAGGGACCTTGCTGTCTGCAGAACTGATTGTATGCCACCCCAGTACTTGGTACCTTTTGTGGGCATGGAAAATGGCTGTTTTAATAGGCAGCGCTAGGAAAAAGCAGATGTAGACATTTACAAGCAGATCCTGAAAGCAAGCATGAGTGTACTTACTGACAGAATGAGTCAATGCGCAACAGAAATGGGTGTCTTAGAATCAAAGGGAGGAAATGAGTCTTCAATCTGGCTGGACATGACAGACTGTATCCTAGAGCTATGATACAAATAGCCCGAAAGATTGAGACGAAGTGAATGGGAAGACCTGAACAAAAGAGATGATCATCAGAGATGATGTCTTAGGAACAGATCTGAATGACAGAATATTAGTTTTCTTTCCAGAAGTTAGGAAAAAGGTAAAGAACAGCTCTGCTTTCTGTGCTGCATTGAGTTTTTGTCTAGACAGCTGTGATTGTGTGACCAATGGAATAGGTTAAGATTTATTTCATTAAGTGGCAGGTTTTAAGCATGGAAGTAGATCTATGGATCTTTCAGCAAAAAGAATTAGCCCAGTAACTTCCATCTGTGGATAATATTCCCCAGAAATAAGCTATACAGGGAAAAGGGAACCAAGAACAAAGCTCCAACGAGAAAGGGGAAGAAGGAAAATTTTTATGTAGAGTATTCTGAAAGAGAAAGGCAAGAGGCACGAGAATTTGGTCACGGAGGTTAAAGGTGGAGAAGACTTCTCGCAGAGAGATGATTGAGCTTAATGCAGCTAATGGGCAAGGAATTTCAAAGTGTGGCAATGAATCTGGAATCTGATTACAAAAAACCTTAAACTTTGGCAAAAAAACCCGTATCAAGAAATCATAGTAGAAGGAAAGATCTGAATGGAATTGGAATAGAGCTAGTGGAGGAGTATGTTGTATAGTCTGTATAGAGAAAGACAAGAAAAAGGGAAGATTGGGGAGTAATTAAATAAAATTTAGGAGTCATGGAGTCAGGACAGATTCTTTTAAGGTAGAAGAGAGTGAAGTGTACTTCCATTGTGATAAGAAGGAGGTAAAAAGGAGAAGCAAGACTACAGAGGACGAAACCTGAATCACAAACTAATTCTGATAGACAGTGGCAGCATCTCTGGTTAGAATGTTTCTTCTAGAAAGTAACACCAACTGCAGAAAAACTAATAATCTTAAACACAGCTTATATTTTAGACAACACTGGTGATAACGGGCAATCTGATGAGACCCTCCCATTTGCTTCAGAGCAATATCAGAGAAAATCTAGAAACTTTAGGCGAAATATGAACATATTTTAATGTTATTCCATAAGTAGATACTAAAAAGGACATTAGTATCTCTTCTAGCTTCATTTCTGTTCATGATCTGGCACCAGGACTGGCAAAAAATTTCATGTTGTACAGTTAAGAAAAAAGGAGTCACTGAGCGTCACAGACAAAAACAAAAATATAGACCATACAGCAAACAAGGATAGGCTTCAGGCACATACATTCTGTCAGAAGAAAAACAGCTTGAAAATCAATGATTTCTCATAAAACTTAAGAAAGAAATAGGAAAGACTTGACCTAATCGAACTCTCTACATGGACTTATTTTATGGATGCTGATGACTAGGCTTAACAAAATCCTTCTCCCTTCTTTTAACAAGGGTTGGAAGAAGCAAAACAATTAATTCTAGATTGTCAGATTTCTGTGAAGCTGAGCACATTTTGGTTAGATTTTAGAAATTACATTACAAGAGGAAGAGAACTATAGCAAGAGATTGTGAGGACCCCTTAGATATGTAGGTAGGCTACTTCAAGTGAGTTCCCTCAAATGAAACAAGCTTACTCTTTCAGGGTTTGTAATAAAGTTTTGGCTATGTACTTTGCTGTATCACTTTGTAAAACTTTGCCCTTGTATCACATGGAGGAAATTATTAGGCATTACTCATGAGAGGCCTGGCTGCAGCTGCACAGGGGATGTATGAGCAAAGGCCAAAATGAAGAAGAAATACATGATGCACCAGCAGACAGTGCTACACTTCAGACCTGTAAAACTGTACAAAGCGTTCGAAACAAGTATTCTCTAATTCTCATACTTCAGCAAAGCCTACTGCTACCCACCTCTGACTTCTGTAAGCAGTACAATTAACACATTCACTTAAACAAAATCTTACCCACAAACTACAAAAGCAAACAGACTCCTGCAGGGCTTAATTCAAGATGCCTGCTGCGTTTTTGTCTGATGTTGACTCCAGCCTGGCCATAATGACACAAGTAGAACATTTTTCCATTGATTCAATTTCCTTGATGAGGCCTGTCTCTCAATAGGTGATCTTGAATTACCATGTCATGTGTAAAAGTAGATTTAGCAAGAGTGTAAAACACATTGATGTGCATTGAACTTAATAACGTGCTGCCAAATCAGTAGTGTTTGCTTCTCTTGCAAACCTTGCTGCTGAATGAATGAGTAATAATCATCACTTAGAAGGTAGCGTGAGATACTCCTGCAATACAGAAACAGAACCATGCTCTTTCCTCCAACAGGGCTGGGATTCTGTAGAAACCACAGAAGTGGTACTGACAGAATTGCAATCAATTAACTCAAAGACCCAGCCACACTTCTTCTGGGCCTGTGAGAGGTCACCACTCTGTGAAGTTCAGTTTGAATGAGAGCCTTCAAGTAGCTGAGCCACAGGGATATCAAACGAAACCAAACTGCATGGGCATTAGCTAAGAGGACTCTCCAACCTCACAAGCCAGCTGAGCTGAGCTCTCAGAATAAAATGGGCTCTACTCCCACATTCACCAAAACAAGCAAATAAGCAGCACTATGAGACAGATTAAGAAGAGCAGCATAATTCTTAATAAGAGAAAAGCTCCAGCAGTGCAAATTGTACAAATGTGAGCAAGACAACTTGCAAGATTTCATATCTACAAATAGTGGCCCTAAATTGTACTGCCTGAATTTGTTCCAACATTTGTTTGAGGAGTTATCCTGTGTAGCTGTACAGAGGAGGGTCTGTAAAAAAAAAAGTAAAAGTCCTGAACATGGACAATTTAGCAGTTCAAGACCATTTTCAATTTCCTTTCCTATAGTGAATGCTGATAAGGCAAATTGGAACAACTAGTGTCTCTTACCTCATTATTGATGAAACAGTAGAGAATTGCAACCATCAGTCCCTGAAATCAACAGAAACAAGAACAGTGAGCAGAGCAGTTTCCTTGCTTTGCTAAACAAACTTGCTGAGGGGCTCCACACTGGCATGTCCTATGGTGAGAGAAAAACAAGACAGAGACTATCTGTGGTCCCCAGCAGCTCTGATGGCAGAGGAGACATTTGACCAAACTACATCTCAAAGCACAAGATCTTAGGAAAAAGGAGTTACCGTTTTCTTTAAACTGTTATTTTTTTCTAAACATTCCTTTCCCCTTTTATTTTCCTTACCTGTTTCTAGTTATAAACACTTTATAAGTAAACAACTCACAGTGATCTTAAATACAGCTCTGCACCTCATAAACAGGGAATGAGTAAGTGAGCAGGGAAATCAGAATAATGATTCCCTTAGACAAGGAGACTCTTTTGAAATAGCCTTACCTGAGGCAACAGCTAAATAAAAATCTCAGTAAACCTACATCCTCCTCACATGCAGTTGCAGCTGTAGATGGCTACCTCTCACAGCACAGATTTTCCAAAGAGTATCAAAAACAGCAGAGAAAGCACAAAATTTGCTTTCAGCAATGCCATTATACAATTACCGGAAATCATGGACAATTTCATTATTGCCTCCAGGTGTCCCATAAGAGGTAGATATGCATAAATGGATAGGTATACCAGTATATTGTGGTAAATTTAAGACACTGAAAATAAGTATATGACACTAACATCTAAGTTGGTTATTAAAAATTAGTCCTCAAACTTTCCCTATTACTGTCATAATTCTGTAATATCCAGTGCTAAATTGAGAAATATAAAGAACAGGGAACATGCAATGAATGAGAGAGAAAGAAGGTCCCTAAACAGCAGTTAAAAAATAACTTATCCACATCAGCACAGTGTGAATGCTACCTGGAAAGAAGCAAAAGAGAGTTCAGTAAAAAGCTTCACGAAGCGCAGCATCCCTCTGGCATGCTCATCAGTAATAAAGGCAAAGATGACCTCATGGGTCCCCAGCAGTGGGATCAGAGTCAGTGTAGACTTGGCCAGCCTAAGATGACAAAGAAAGAAAAACACAGTGCTACTGAGTAGACCATTATTGATCCCGGTGATGACAGGGAGTCACTGCATTCTGCTTTTGACACACTGTCACCTTCAGTAAGCCATTGCACCACTTTTTGTCACAGGTTCCTCCTCCACAGGCTGCAGGAAAAAAAAAAAATCCTCAAAATAACGTTAGTAGGTTCCAACATGTTTCAGTTGCCTCTGTATTCAGCTCCTGGCTGAATTTTTTCACCTAAAAAATCTTCTTCCAAATTCAATAGCAGACCATCTGCCTTCTTGTACCTAAGCTATCTTCTTGTGTATCCTTTTCCCCAGCTGTAAGTGGGAAAGATGACCAAAACCTACCTTGCTGATGGCCTGAAAAAAATAACCTATCAATGACTGCTATCTTTTAAAAATATCTTGGCAAAGGGAGGAGGACTTACTATTCCTTCTCATCTCTTTGGTGTGTTAAATCTTCAGAACGTTGGAACTAACCATAACTGCAGAACGCTTTGCAAAAGCAGTTAAACTGTCTTAAAGCAAGTGATGACTCCATGATTTAAACAGCAAGTTCAAAGATACAGCTAGCAAAGGAAAAATGACAAACCAACCTGAAAGAAAACATTTTTCATCAGTGAGAGAGAAATGCTCAGGGATACAACCACAGGAGAACATTCACAAGAATGTTTTTTGACAAACATACATGCTAGCCACTCAAAAAGATGCCTGAGCCTCACATGGGAGTTGATAGGGCTGTCCTGGGCCACAGAACGTGGCACTGTCTCATGACAACCCGTCTTGAGACAATTCAGTAGATACAAAATCACTCAACTTTCAGGGCTGTCAGTAATCAGTAGATCTTGTGTGCCCTAGGGCTGTTGGCTGCTATTCTGAATCATGTAATCCTTCAGGCTGGAAGTCTCCAGTCCAACTGCAGTTCACAGCAGGTTACTCAAGGCTGTGTCCAGCCAAGTTTTGACTATCTCAAAAGGTCTGTATCCATAAATATCTAAAATACCTGTATCTTAAATATCTATATGGTCCTTCACAGCTCTCCTGGGTCTCTCTCCCAGCATCATACCACTCTCACTGTGAATTCTTTTTCACCTTCCACATGCAATTGGGATTTCTCTTGCTATAACTTGTGACAGCTGCCCCTTGTCCTTTCACTGTGCATCTCTGAAAATACTCCAGCTCCATCTTCTGTATAAGCACCATGAGGTAACTGAACTGCAATTAAATCTTTGCTTAGTCTTCTGTTCTCCAGACTGAATAAACCCAGTTTTCAGAACCCCTTTCTATCTCACCTGGTCCAGCCCCTGAACTAGCTTGGTGCAAAACTGATGCAAGTCCCATGGGGCTGGAGGGACACTACATTACGTCTTTCTTGTACTGGGGACCCATAACCTGGACACCAGAAGCAGTCTCACAGGTGCTGCATGAGGATCAGTCACTTCCCTTGACCTTCTGGCAATGCTTTTGCTAGTGCAGTCCAGCATGCAGTCAGCCTATGCTGTCACAAGGGCACACTGCTAAATCGCGTTCAACCTGTTGTCCTCCAGCATCCCTGGATCCCCTGTAAAGTTGCTTTCTCCGCAGTCAGTGCCCATCCTGTACTGCTGTATGGGGTTATCACATCCCAAGTGCAAGGCTCCTGTCACCCCATCCACCGGCCTGCTGCTGTTCTTGGTACAAAAGGACCAAGGGTCGGTGAAAGTAACTGTTAAAATTAAACAGTTTACACACACAGGTAAGCAGAAATGCAGATCTCTAGTGGACCTAGGCAGACCATTGCATTAGAGAATAGAGGACTTGTTTAAATGAGCTAGAACCACAAGGCTGATGCTAAACTGGCTCTGGAGACACCACCTGTGTGAAAAAAGGGAGTTATGTAGGTGTACAGCAAAGTCCTAGTTTACTTAATGGATGCTAATTGTTCTAGATGGAATACTCGGAGAGCTCTGTATTAAACAGGAAGCCATGCAAAGTCCTATGATAAGGCTTCCTGGGTAATGGAGACCTCCCTAAAGAAAATCCTTTCCCTGAGCAAGGGGAGGAGTTTCTCCATGACTCCAGTCCTTCTACAGATGAAAGGTATTTGCTGCTGTACTGAACAGTGAGCGCTCTCTCTTCATCAACTGAATGGGCAACAGGAGAGAAGCAGAAGAAAGATTGGCCCGAGAGCAAAACACTTCCGTCCTTACACAAATGTATCTAAACTAGTGGCCTTCTTGGGCACCTAGACTGGCCTCTATTTAAAAGAATGCATTCAAACACAGCAGTTCTGTCTCCCCTCCACTCAAAAGCTTTTCCCGTGTTTTTAAGCAGGGAAAAAAAGGAGGAAAAACAATCTGAATCAGGAACCTGTGGCTATTGCTGGTGGTATCATCAGAGGCATGCCAATGAACAGAACTCTTTTGGGTAAAAGACTTCCCCAAAGATTCTGGATATAATCAACAACCTCCGGAAGGACCCCCAAGACTATATTTCTCATTTATCAATGAAGAAGGCTCTGTTACTGTATAAATCCTTTCCTAATAAAGTCTTTCTGTTTACACAGTAGATTCTTCAACAGGCAACATGAAGAAATGAAAGAACATGCACCTCTAGAAATGGCTCAGCTGCATCAAACTTTCCTGCTGCTTGCAGAAGTCATGAGGGCAAGGTCTTTCTCCCTTGAGAGGGTAAATTTACAGTCAGACTTTTAGATGGCTTCAAACCATCAGAATTAGAAAATCCCTCCTTTCCACCCCTGCAAATCTTACCCTGAAAGACAAAGATCACATATATTCAAAATAACAGTAGGGATGAAAGCAAAGCCTACAGCTCACTAAAAGGAGCCCTTTTGTCTGCTTTAAGCTCTAAACACACATTAGGATTTCCAAAATTTCACATGAGGTAAAGAAGGTAAGTAACATACAAGGCAACTCTACACTCTGATGAGAATTCACCAAAATACATTCTATGTCTAGCTTAAAAGACTGCAGCAGTGAAATATCCAACTTCAAACTACTCAAATCAACCATCAGTAGCAGCGTGGCTACCACAGCATTGTAGCTCCACACTGGTTAATTCACTATATTGCTAACTTGTTATTTCTACATTATTGTTCAGACTGCAATACAGAAATATTCTCCAAGATGCAGAAAGGAAGGATGTGACCATGAATCACAGAGACAGGCTGAAGCCCGCAAATTAAAAATTAAATACTTCTATGATAAATCTGATATCTCTCTTGAAACATCATATGCATTCAAGATTGAAAGTTTGGCCCAGTAACAACTGGCAAGAAGAACAAGGAGCAATACTCAAAATGACACTCATCTTGATCTTCATTGAAGTTAAAGCTTTTATTTCCATCACTCATTTTTTCAAATTATGAGAAGTACGTGTAAATGCTGCAAGCATTTTAAAAATACCTGCTTAGTTAATATTCTTCCAGTTTTATGGAAGACTGCAAAGTGACAAACTTGGGAGGCCAAGCCTTCTGTTTCTCTGTATCACCTGCCTAGGTTTCACCAGGAGGCTTCTCTGGGGCCTGACTGTCCAAGCAGTCATACCAATGTGTGACTGCGCATTACTCAAGGCCTGTGATCTTTAATTATTTTTGTCAGTTCGCTCTTTTTCTTGTATCTCCTTGTCAACTTTCATTTTGAGAGGCACAAAAAGTGTCAGACCATCAAATGACATACCTGCATTTTATGTCAGTTTTGCACATCAAATTAGCCTGTAGTTTGGAGATGATGATGCATATAACTCTGATAAAGATCAGGAAATTTACCTGGAGAAATGAAAGATAGATTTATACCATCATCAAGAAACACACATTCATAAGTGTTCAAAAAAGCTGGTTTGTGTATGTATGTGCATCCTGCTACTCTGCAGCTGCAGAATTTGCCAGGAATTCAAACCCCTGCTAAGGAATTGTGCTTTAAACACATCCTCTATGAAAAGGACAACTTGAAAACGCAGGCAGTTGACTAAACAAGGCAGGGGAGCTTACCTACATCTCTGAGGAATGGGCACAGTAAAGGTGTGGGCTGTCCCATTTGCCTTGTCTGGAGGTCTGAGACTGCCACAGTATTGTGGCTGCAGAACATGGCACACAATGCCACACAATTTGTTGCTGTCATGTAGCCCAGTATCTGAAATATTGTCTTCTGCCTCCCCATACTACCTGCTGCAGCTTTCCGCACACTCAGGAGTTAACTGGATTGCTGTGGTGTGCTCTTTTGTTATCATGTGCTGCCACTACAACATGACAGCATGTGGCTAAATTAAACAAACAAAATGCTAGTTGGGAATTCCAGTGACAGAAACCAATTTCGTTTCATAAAATCACATTTCTGAATGAAAATGTCAGTACTCTCAGAGGTTATTCGCCTTTGGATGTGTACAACAGCCATGTGCACATCTGCTCTTTGCACTGTATTATGGAAATCCTCTTTCTCGTGGAAATCTGCCAGCTCGCTGTACGTGGCCCATACTCACCCCAATGGCGATGAGAATGGGCAGCCTGATGATCAGCCAGTAATTCATGTTATAGTTCCTGGTCCAGCAACTAGGCAGACGGCAAAAAGAGGAATATAAGAAGAAAAAGTTTCAGCCCACTACGAAAATCTCCTGCTTTTCATTCTGTCACAACAATACAGATAGAAAACAATATTGAAGACTAGATACCAGGAAAGCACATCATGCTGACATGGAAACAGGTGCAGTTGCTTCTTAGAAACACTGAATGCTTTGTACAATTGCAGCTATCATAATCCAACTGGATACTACTTGCCTGCCTTTCTTGCCCACTAATGGCTAGCTCTCTTCCACAATTTGCTATGAATGATGATAAGCTAATTGAGAAGATGTATTCCATTAAAGCCAAGGTCAAATTTGTCATGTGGCTGAGAGGAGAAGAGGGGGAATCTGTTTGAGTCAGACCTTTCCTGTGTGGTTCCTATCCTACTATTTCTGCATTTTTTTTTTATTACTTTCAGTCTCCAAAGTAATTATTTAACTGTTTGTTATTTCTTTATCACATTTCCTACCATCACTTTTCTCCCATCAATATTTAGATCAGACATCTATTTTGTTTGCCCTTATTTTCAAAAAGAACCTACTAACTTCAACCAGGAGAAAGCAATTAAGGAAACAAGTTACAGTTCCTCCAGTGTACATGTACAGGTTTTGGGCCCAAAGAAAGACTTAAAAGTTATAAGAAAGCAAAACCAAAGATGGGAGCAATAGTTCTTAACTTTTGTTAGCTGAGCCCTCTGCCAAGCAAGTAACATGCTGCAGGCAAGATAATACTTCATTCTCCTCACAAGTCTCATTTTAGCTTTTAGAACTGCTACATCCTTGATCAATATTAGAGAAAAATCACAAGAAACCTGATGCCTGAAAGCCACAGTTTGGAATCACTGGTTTGAAGTGAACTTTTCACAGGGGGGTTTGTACATCCAGTTCTTTTGGGTCTGACCCTGGCCAAAGCCAGCCACTCCCGACTGTATGATGGACCATGTGGGTGCACAATGACCCAAGTGTTGAGGCAGTGTTCATCTAATGCTTCACGTGCGGAGACAGCAACAGCGTTCTTGGTATTTTCATGAAAAAACTTTGTTAGCTTTCTACCATATTGCTCAGCATTGCTCAAAAGCAGCAGTCATCAGGAAAGCCAGCAGGTTTCTGAGCTACACAGGCTGTGAAACAAACTAGGAAACAGCACTACAGAAAACACAGGTTCCTTCACAATACAAGTTTCTCTTCATCTCCAAATCTCATCTGCCAAAATATACATATGCCAAATTTTCCTTAAGTTTTCTTAACAGTCCTGTGAAACTTCAGCTTGGGTGATGCTGGTGGAGAGTAAGCCCTCCCCAGCCTTGTAAAGAAACTAACAAACTGTGTGGCATGAGGTAGCATCCATGCTACAAGAACGCACCCACATGCACTCACTTACTGGGGAGGAAAGTGAAGCAGTTTGGCTGCGGCGTTTCCGTGCTCCCTCGCAGGTACTGCAAGCCTGAGAAGGGCTCAGGATTTTGTTTTTCCTTTCAATTACAGTTTAATGCATATAACAAGCATATTACTGCAACCAGCAGCTCTAGAACCTACAATTCAGTTGTATTTTAGGTGCTGGAGAAAAAAGGTGTATGCATTGTGTGCAGTTAGCGTACCTGAGCTGGATTCTGAGTAACAGAAGAACTTTCTAATTGGTACGTGTGACTGGGAGCTGGCTTCATGAAGCTGTTAAAATTCATTTTACTTGAACCCCTCAAGACTGATGGGATAACAGACATGACTGGAAGTAGAGCTCTAATTTTATGATTAGCTGCAGTAGAAGCAGAGGCAATTATAAAATTTCCTTGTAATGACGGAGGCTGAAAAATTATTCTTTACATTAACTCTGCTACATCTGTGTGTATTAATTTGCTTCCTGTGGCACAAAGCAGTTTTAGCTACTTTTAAATTTATACAAACACATGCAATAAAAACACTATTACAGCCCAATTAAAGTGTCACAGTTACTAAAGTGTCCAGAAAATAAAATTGATAGATCTGTACATGATTTCTTGTCCATTTGTGCTTTCTGGGATTGCCACACTGATAAATACACCAACATCTCTTGTGTTTTGGATCCATCCCTACAGTTTGCTCAGCATCACTCAGAAGATGCTTGGCAACTAATAGCCTCAGAGCTGCGAATGGAGAACTGGTCCAGTGAAACAAATTCTACTGGGAAGTTTCTGCCTTAGCTGACCAATCTGGAATTTTTTTTCTAAAAATGAAAACACTGAATTTTTACCTTAAGAGGTACAGCTGAATGGCTCCATTTTTTAAAAAGATTGTAGGCTAGCTGTCTTGCTTCCATAATTAATTGGAGATAGAAGCAAAGATAGGTAAATATCAGCTCTTCAGGCATAGACTAATAACTAAGAAGCTCAGTTTGCCTTACAATTTTATTTGTAATCTAGACAAAGTTGTTTTCAATAGCTCACTTTTTAAAACAGCAACGGCTTTCTAAAGGAGTTGACAACGTGCACATGTAAGGAAAGAAGAAGTCAGTCTGCAAGTTAGTCTTGCAGGCTTCAGTCTTTCATTCAAATGGCCACGTTCACGGAACTGCATCAAATTCCCAGCCCTGACCATGTTTAGTTCCAGTTATTGCTCATAGCCAGGGAAGTAGTTAAGTCACAAATGAAATTTACAGCCCGCTGCACATCCAGGGTGTCAGTTCTATGGCAAAAGGCATGAAAGATATCCCTGGCTGCACCGGCAAATGCTCGCCCAGGGCACAGAAATCTTGCCTTTCAGAGAAGCTGCTGCACATGGTTATTTATGGCTGTATTTTACAAATATTTATACAAGATTTAGAAAATTCAATAAAGTGCAAAATTGTCCCTTTTAAGGTTTGCTGAAGGCAGTGAGTGACAGTTTTCCTTAATAGAAAACATAAATCAGCTCTGAGCACTGCATAATGTAGGAGGCTCAGCATGAGCATTTTGAATACATTTTCTACATCAACGGGAAGATAGGCCCAAGGAACATCACAGAATCATCGCCTGTTCAGAGCCTGCATGTTCACTGTACCTGTTCTGATAATTTCAACAAAACTTGCAATACATCAGTGCGGCCACAATCTTGCTACAGAATATTATCAAGTCAACCTTGAAAAGGAAAGTCAGCACATCCTAATATTGCTTTAAGCCATTAAAGGCAGCTTTGACTGAACTGGTTTGGTACTATTAAAGACATTTTAAAAAAGCCAGTTCTTAATAGTCATGAACACCAGAAAAAAGTCTGGAGGTGACTCTGACTACACTGTATTTTCACTTTGCAGCATCTCCCCAGGAAGGATTGTGTTTGGAGTAAAAAAAAAAAGAAAAAGAAAAAGGAAAAAAAAGGTCCCTCTACAAAAGTACTGGCTGGGTTATTTGGAACCTAAGTAAGAGCAAGACTCAATAAACAGTACATTTAAAATAAAAAGGAAATAGCATAAAGTGATTTATCTCACCACAAAGAAAGCTACCCAAATACTTCCAGGCAGTCACTGCAACTAAGAGGAAGCCACTTTCCTCTCTTTTGTTCTTTAAAAAACCAAACTAAAACAAGAAAAGCAAACTATAATGTTATTTGGTACATAAAGCTTTTTCAGAACAGCCACTACGGTAAAAATGGATGAAATGTAGTTTGCCTTTTGCAGCAGTCTTGCACGTAGTTGTCTTCAGCAAGACTAACGGAAGCAGACAGAGAATGTGCCTTTATTTTAAGAAGATCTAAATAATGGAAACTTAAACAAGAACAGACTATCACATTTCTGCTGTTAGGCATAAGCTAACCACTACAAATCGCAGGCAGAATCCTGTGGGAGGTTTTTGCCTTCCTCTGAAGCATAACTGTAAAGGCTACTGCCAAAGGCACAGTATCAGAAGTGGTCTCGGTTGGGTACGATGACTTCTACTGTTGATACTGTAACTACAGAAAAACAAAACATACCTTTCCCTGACCTGCAAAAGGATAGATTCATTCAGACATGCAGAAAATTCTGATCAGAAAGAAACCTACGCTCCTTTCTGAAATGTTATGCAAGACCTTCAGACAAAACAGAAGCAATTATATGAGGTTTCAGCACATTGCCAAAGCAAACCACACCGAACAGAAAGCAAACAACAACCTGCTGGTGCACACATACAGCACAAACGAGAAAGCTAGAAAAATGAGAACTAAACCAACCCCTCATCTTCATAAAGGTACTTGACAGTTCCCCAGAGGATAACAAACAGCATTGGCACACCTGGGAAGAGAGGAAACAAGGTTGACACTGACATTAAGAGACAGGGAAAAGCAGAGAGAAGGACAAACCCCCCACATAATGATGAGCAACATACTTAACTGGTGGCAGGGTTGCAGCTCCTACCCAGTGCAGATGGCTGTAAATGGTGGGAAGAGGAATCTAACCTGCAAGTAACTAATACACGTAACTTGTTTTGCCTGGGCCCCCATCTAAGCTCCTAACAGGCATGAAAAATAAACAACAGATGATCACCCCCACACTGGGCATATACCAGCTTTTCTGGGGGAAGTTTCACAGAGGGGTCAAGGGAACAAAGCCTCTGGAAGCTCTGCCGGCCTCTATGTTCACACTAGAGAGGAGTGCAGTGCCTTCTGACCCAAGCCTTTGCATCCACATTTCTGCCTGTGGGTCAGTTACCCTGTACTCGGGCAGCACCAAGCTTAGGCTGTCTACTGGCATCAGAGCTGGAGCACACTCAGACTCACATATGCCCGATGGCAAAGGGAAGCGTGGGCACACAACACATAGGAAGTGTGCTCAGGCTTCCCATGCAGAAAAGTCCTAAGCTTGGGCTGCAGTACTGGCATAGACTTGAGTGGCTGAAGCAAAGACAGCAGACGCACCTGGTCTTGAGAAAAGGCTAGGTCCTACGCTTACCTGACAGTGTACACGCTATGGTTAGTGAGCTTTTCTGGGGTGTTCAGGGAAGAGAGAAAAGCTAAATAAGGTGGCAGTTACTATTTTCTTTACAATGCCAAAGGCTCTCAAATTCATTTCTTTCATTTATGAAATACCTAGGTCTTGAAAAGGAACTTTAAAATGCATCTACCAACCCATACTCAGTACAGGGAATGACAAAAAAAAGCCCACAAAAGAAGGAGAGCAGGCTGAGACTCAATGAGCAAGATGAGGAATCTCTGCCTAAGGATGGACCAAGATGGTCTAATTCCTCTGTATACATCTTTGGACAGTGTCCGATGCTGTATGTACATTGTATAGGAAAGGCAGCATTTAATGTGCTTTGTTACTGCATTCTTAAGAACCACTATGATAAGGGACCATAAGAATATCAGTGTGCAGCAGTAAGCACTACATAGACCAAATACACAGTTCCTGACAGCAGAAGCCACAGGGAAATTGGTGACCTCTAGCAGTCTGAAAAATCTACAAGCAGTACCTATAGTGGGTATTATCAGTAAAAACCTTCTCTCTTGTTGTATCATATTCTTTCTCTACTATCAGAAGAGCTAAATTGCACATGCAAGACCAATTATTCTCCTTAATATATACATTAATTATATAACATTTATATAAAATAGAGAATAAAAAGAGTAGCAAGGAAAAAATACCAATAATTAGAATAATACCAAAGATAACAAATTGAGTTGAGATTATTTGGCGAAGTGGTTGAATGTGTTCCATGGATGTACCCGATACTGAGAGTACACAATATTTTGGGAGCAAAGTTACTGAGAACTCTGTGCTGCTTTGATAGTGGCAAAAGAGATTAAGAAGAGGCTCATTGCAAATCACTTTGAAACGCAAATGATCCTTTGATTCACAGAAACTAATTATCACTTGCATCATTCCCTTCTTGGCTTTGCTGAGAATTAAGACAATGTAATATGAAACTTACAGGATAAAACACGAACTCTGAGAGCACACAGGCTGTATGTCAGTGGAGGGAACTTATATATCAAGTGATAATGATTTGTGGATACCCCCATCTTCTGGATACATTAGAAATCTCTCCATACTTAATCACATTACTTGACATTTGAATTGAGAATCTGTTATTAATATTGTATTTCAAAAGAGCCTAGCTAGAGAGAAGCTGGTATTATTGAACTGCATCGGCATCCTGCTATGCAAACAAGACACAAACTAATTGACTGCATGTACAAGGTTACTTGTTCTGTCCACTCTCACTTGAGATGCAGGCTCATGGTTCCTTGGTTTTGCAACATCATCAGTCACATTACTTTCCATGCTAGAAATACACACTTGAATCTGAGATACCAAGACATGTAAGCTTTAAACATCAGTGCAAATTCTACATGCATACCATCTGAAACCTACCAAATCCACAAAATCTTGTCCTAAGAAACGGGTGGCTCTGAAAACTGTCCACGACATGCTCTCAGCAGGTGGGAACGTATCCAGTTTTCCAAAGCCCTAGTGAAGATCTAAAGAGAAGACTGCCCCAAGAACATTCCCTAGTACACCTCAAGTCTGTAGAAGTCACTCACTGCTGCAAAAGAGCAAGTCTGTAGCATTTATGCAGTTACTGTAGTTTTCAAGGATCACTGATGCTCTCCATAGATTAATTTACAATCTTGATACCTAATTAACCTGGATTAACTGGTACAAATGCAAATATTATTCTGGTTACTTCACCCAGTCAAGAGAAATTTGGCTGACTTGAGCAGGCAATGGAAGCAAACTGTATACAGCTCCTTGAATAAACTGTACAGATTACTATCATTCACTAACAGAATCAGCATTGTATTCCAGTCCTAGGCTCCCACCATGTAGCTTTTCTGGTGCACTTGAGTTTCAGTCCTACACCTCTTTCTCTTGCTGCTGCTATTCAAAGAATATCAGAGAAAAAACCGCACCCATTTATAAGATGCACTTATTTAATATATTGGCTGAATTCTTTCTGGGTTTGTTTTTTTGTCATACAGAAAACTCCAAGGTTAATCTTTTCCCAGTTTAATTGATCACAGAAAGGTCTCTGAATTCTGGAAATGGTAGCGTCTACTTTTGTCTGTACTGCATCACTGATGAAGATGCCAGAAACTGCAATAGCCTGTTCATAATAGCTTCTGCCATGTTAATTCTTGCAGGCTGATATCCAAAAATTTTGAACACTACACAGTGATTATGAAATTTATCAAGTGTGCTAGGAAACAAGTATGCCGACAGCTCAGCTAATACAGTTCAACTTCAAATGACAGAGGACAGGGCATCTGAATTATAGGCTGTGATAATAATATATATTATAGATGATGAGAAAGTAATAGAACTGCCAAATCAATGTCTTAACACCCTGCTGCATAAATAAGCAGCAAGACCGACTTAATTTCATTCTAGCTTACATATTCCACACCTGGCCAAGTGTCTGCATAGTAAAGAAAAAAAAGTTGGAAAACTAGACATTATCCAGAATCATAACAGGATAAGGTAGCTAAGAGAAGAAAGCTGTGAGAAATTCTGCACAGGAACCACTGTTTTGTTGACATTTTCAGAATGCTCGTAATGAGCAGAGCAGAGGGCAATTTGTGAAGCTGCTAATGGAAGTTACTGTGTCCTGATAACAGCATGTAGAAATCAGTCTCTTCATTTAATGGGTCCAAGATATTTTGGTAACTGAACAGGAAAACTCAGGCTTGTTTTAAGGCCATTAAGTAGCAGTTACCATTAAAGGTTTCACCAGGTGGTGCTATTCCATGCCATCTTCTTTCCCTTACCTCAATGTGCAAGTAAGTTTTCATTGTTACAGACACACAATATTTCTAGCTTTGCACTGTACCACATTTTATGTAAAGGTAATTTCAGGGAAGAAAGATGTATGAGGAGCAAGACAGGCTCTCTTCATCCTCATGTGCTGATTAGAGATTCTTCCTGTAGTAAATTTGTCTCTGCAGGAACAAAAGCGCTGCAATTTTGCCAAGACCATTAAAATAAGGACATATTCTGAATACAGCATTTTAGGACTGATAAGTTTGTGTATAAGCTCATATTTCAGATGTATCTTGACATCAATTGTTTCCATGTAGTGAGAAGTTCACAAGGCACACAAAGGCACACAAACCAGGACACTACTGCTGTCAGAAGAATTCCAATCCTTCTCTTTCTTTCAGAAACTATCCAGATGGTCTGACTTGATCAACTACTTGCCGAATGAATGCAAGAAGTGATGAGGAACTGAAAGAAGTGATGAATAAATATGACTAGATGTAGAAAGAGTAAGAGCACTGAAGTTGTGAGAAGATGAAACATTTTTCTTTGTAAGAACTGAAAAGCATTAGAGAGTTTAATCCAGAAGACAGAGTGAAGAGAATTAAGAGAAACTCCCAACAGATGCATTTCCTACCAAGATCAGTCTGGACACAGAACCTATTTTCACATCCTTTTCTGAAACACAGTTTTCATTTGAAAACAGGCAAGAAGTGCTAGTGTGGCAACAGGATGCATTCGCTGCACTGAGTTCACTACTGGGCTTCACAAGGAAGGTTTCTCGCTGGCTCTCTTCCAGCCAGATCTTCCTGGCAAAGGATGGAGATTTTGACACCCTAGCCAGGCTTCCTGCCTTTAATAGTTTCATTCCCTCAAAGTATTCTTCCTTAGAGCAAGTTTGGGTTGCTAAGACTTGGAAGGAAGGGGTTTATTTATTTTTTAAGGCAGTTTCCCTGCTGCAAGTGCAGCTGGGTGTAAAATGGCCATAGAAGCTCAGAGAATATTTACCTTTTTATTAACATTTTCTTTTTAGACTTTAGTGCTGAAAATTGTCTCCTGTTATTCTTCCCGCCTAGATGTCACACATAGTCACTGTGAGATGTTGCTGTTGTTTCCCCATTCCTTCCTCCTCCCTAATTCTCAGTGGGAACAGGTGTTTTTTTCACTAAAAGCTGCTGAAAGATGCACGCAACAGCGTTACAGCATAAGCTAGTCTTCTCCAGAGACTACTTTGTACAGTCCCGACACAGCTGCTTGAAGTGAATGTCAAGTTCAACGATGCTTCACATGGGCTCAGACACGAACATTGAGTTGGTGTCCTGGACACTCCAATTAAAAGCAGATTGCACATCCCAAGAAACAAACAAAACAAAAAAAGTAATCGTCTTGATCTCCATAGTTACATTGTTTTCCTCCCCCCTTCTTCTGCAGATGTGAAAATGACTGCCTGAATGAGCCTCCTGTTTAGCTGCTGTGCTGACTTCCAGACTGAAGAAAACAACTCATCTACCTGCCCATCTACCTGCCATTGGCCTATTAAGAATTGTCTTTGTTGATGCTGTTAGTGTTTCTGCCTTTTTTTTCCCCCCATCAGCTTTAAAAATGGCATAAACCATTGTTTTTGCAGTAAGATACATGTAACTCGGGGTTGACACAAGTGCATGAAAGTCTGCTTTTACAAAGAAAAAGAAGACATAAGCAAGACATTTTCCACATTAAATGAAATAGGAAAAATTTAACATTGCCATCTCAAAGCCTAATATGGTGTGAAATCTCAGCAAGGAGAACAGAGTTACCTCACAAGTATTCCGAAAGTTTTATAGAATACTATCAATATACATGATGTCAATATAAATGACTTTCAGTTTGTAAAACTACATTAGTTTCCTTAGGCCTATCAAGATTTTGTAACTGTTCTAGTTTGTGGAAGGTACAATAACACGAGATAAACAGGTTTTTCCCCTTATAAAACACTTCAACAGCAAAGAATAATTACTCATTTGAACTGATACCAAATTGCCTATCATCTAATAACATTAATAACTGACCTAAAATTATCATATAGCAAAAACATATTTCAGAAATATTTTTCTTTACACTCCTCACTGTCTGCTAACCATTTCTAGGAAAACACAGGCTAAGGATTGTATATTTTAAATGTTTCTATTTGAAAAGCATGTTTACCCTTTCCATGTTTCGAAATGAGATGAAATTACCATGTTAGACAAAGTGGGAGAAGTATTTTTTCTGTTTACACAATTACATGAACTTTTCCCCCTGTTATAACAAAATATAGCACTATTTAATATAGCAGATTAAAGGCTTGGAGATAAATAGGTATTGGGACATTTCTACCTATTTGAAAGCTGGCCCTTACATTACAGTTTTGCTTGGGATTACCCTAGGAAATAATTTGCTCCAGTTTCTTGTTTGTTCTGAGACCTGTTGTTCCTCACAAGAAGTACAACAGGGCAAACATCATGACCAAGAGTAAGTGCAAACAATCATGTGGACAAAAACCAAGAGGAGAATACACAGTTTTATTCATACATATCTTTGAGAGAATTACAAGCGCAAACAAGTGATCACATGGGAGATTGCAGACACTATTCAAACAGCAAAAGCAATACCATGTGGTCTGTGAGTGATCACAGAGTTCAGTTATAATTAGAAGAAATAACAATGTGAAATTACTAACTTCCACTAAGTTTGTGAACAATGCATACAAAAAATTATAAAACAGAAATATTAATCAAATGATGAGTAATGCGCAAGTTAAAAAAATACCCTGTAAGAGGATAATTCATTAACAGAACAAAGTGTCAGGGCATCAAATTAGGTATGACAATCCAATAGATACTTCTTTTTGATCCAGCTTTATTTTTACAGTAGACAAACTATTTCAAAGAGCAGGAGTCTCTCTCAGCTCAAACAGGAACCTGCTGTTTCTCTGAAGCCCCAGCATTATGCTACCATTGAGGCTATCATGCTGCTCAAAAAAACCCCAAAATCTTCTGAGCACTGCATACAGCAGAAACACACTTGATGACCTGAGCACCCAGAAAATTAAATCACCAGTGAAGAAGGAAGAAAGAGTGGAAAAAAAATTTCATTTCTTTCTGCTTGTTAGAGACAAAACTGTCATCTGGTGTAACTAATCTGGGAGCACTGAAATAGCAGATGCTTCTGCATTTGAAGATGGAGAATCACTGGGAAGGCTTGCACATGTAGCTATGGCTGGAAGAGCAAGAAACTGTACAGATGAGGAACGAATGGCACAGGCAGAGCTTTACTAGGGAGCTTGGATGAAGCCCGTATATCCAGTGCCAAGTTCTGGCACGGCCACTCTTTTCCACAAATTCATCCAGAAATTCAACATACAGTAGCAAAACTTCCATTGTAAAGGAAGAACAAAAAAAAAAATAGCATCTTCTGTTTCTGCCTTTTGGTTTTGCAAGAGACAAACTGTAACTAGAAGTGATTCAGATCAAAACTGTCATACCTCTTACTTATAAAACAACACAATACCCTCAGGATTATGGCTAGATAAAATTTCGCTTTAATTTCTTTTCTATTTCCTCTCATTACCTCCCTTAGTGCTTCAGGATAGCTCCCCCATGTTCTTTTTTTTAAATTATTTGAAATTGAGGGTATAGCTATTCATAAAATATGATTAAAACATAGATAGTCCAAATGTTATACAAGATACTGTTGCCTTTGCTGCATGTCCTATATAAAACAATAACGGAAGGTATAGAACTTTTTAACTAAAACTCTCTAGCAGGAAATTGCTATTACTTGCATTTAGTTATCCCCATCAGTCTGCTGGAAAGCCTTTGCTCCTCATATATCACTTTTCAGTAGAATTGGCTAATTCACAGTAAACCATTTATATCCATTTTACTAGTGAACTAATTTACTAGAATATTTAGAGTTGGCAAATCCATAGAGAAGGACAGCTGAAGCAATTTAAGTGTTCAAACTAGTATCTGTGAAAGTACTTGCAGTATTTACTTGGATTTAATTTCAGCTTTCCAAAAGTCGCCCAATTTCCACCAAAAGAGGAGGGAGGAGAAAAGGAAGGGAGAGAACACAATCAAAGTACACAGAAGATCATTCCAAAAATAGGATTAATCCATAATAGCACTATATTTTCAGGCTAACTTGACAGTGAAAGAATCAAAGCTCTAGCATTTCTTCCAAAGGCAACTCAGGCTCAACCAACTGATTTCAAGGCATCACAGTCCTCAATCTCAAGCACACACATGCCCATGGCACACGCACCCTGACAACTCTTTTGCCCAAAAATAATAACCTGGCCTGCTCTGCCCACGTAACCAGCCTGACAACTCCCTGCTAGCAGCCCATTCATCGACTCCTTTACATCTTCTCTAGCTCATTCTGCCATCATTTCTCTAGTTATCCTTGACCACATACAAGGTATCATCACTATTTTGCACCACAAGTAGTTAACCCATCTTTGAATGCCATGGGAAACCACCAGGAGATGAAGGGCAGTCAAAGGAAAGCCCACACTCACCTGGAATTGCCCACATGTCTTTAGCATTGGGAAGTTGATGTCTTGCAAGGAAAAGTACCATGTGTCTGCCATTGGTCTGGGGAATTTCTGGGTTGCCACACAGCCCCTGCATTATGAACCCACAGCCTCTATGCTGTGAGCATCCAGGAGTTGTGCTGGCCCAGCATCCTCCAGCTCAAACAAGGTAAAGGGTGAGGAACAAAAAGGGAACGGAGAGTGCAGGACTTGAGCCAAGCAGCACTCTAGTAGATACACTATATTTTTTCCTATTGTACCATCTGCCAGTGGAGGCAGCCACAAGCAGACATATGGAAAGATCAACTTACCCCAGCCAATGCAGAGATAAAGTCGAAAAATTCTCTGTTCAGAAAAGACTGAAAGTACCAGCAGCGTGTACAGGTACATGCCTTCCACCAGCAACCAGTAGTAGTTTGCAGCCACACAATACTGCATCATCACAAAGACCAAGCGGCAGCTGAGTGATTCCTGTAATGGAAGAAAGCACAGCCCAAATGAATGCAACAGGAGCTGAGAATAAAAGGATACTAACCCAAAAGACTGGCTCTTTCTCGTATTCTTCCTCCTCAAAACAGCGCTTACTAAATTGATCACATTTGAGTACTGAAGGGACAGAAGCCAGAAACAGGTGGTAAACACAGCAGATAGATGCTTTTAACAACACTCCTCCTTTAAAAAAAATAAAATTACATATTCTGCACTTTCCCTTAATAAGGAATGGATTGTAACTTGAAAAGCACAACACAAAGATGAAAAGATCAAGTGAATGGTATTGTATCAACTGCAGTCAGTGAATCTTCTCACTTCCCCAGATATTGTATTCTGAAGTTGAAAACTTCTCTATTAAAGAACAAATGTTGACTATTTTCCAAAGCAAAAGATTTTTGATACAACAGCAATATTTCCCAGTGCATCACATTTAAGTGGAAAATCTCTCTTGGCTTTTAAGTTACAAGGAGGTGGTCAGCAGGGCTTTAGATAAGCAGGAAACCTGATTACCTAATTAATATATCCATCAGATCTGATGAAATCACTGTGGGATAAACCACGTGTGAAAGCATAAAGCCTAGGGTTTTTTTGAAAGGAAGAGATGACTGACAATCCAATGCGGACATTTCCAAACCGTTTAAGATATGCATTACAATATTATTTTCTACCAATTGATACATTATGGATGAGAAGAACTCAACCATCATATGAGATTCACTATATGGTATTAGCGCTTATGCTTTAGGCAATGTCAGCAAAGGATGGGCACTAAGCATGCATTAGAAGACATACACTTTATGACCCCAACCCTGTACTGCAGCAGCAAACGCCATACTTATGTTCTAGAATCACAAGAGCTATACAGATAATGAAAATCCCTTTATTTGAAGATTCAAGAACATTTTGTGTTCCCAATCTGAAGGGGAAAAGGTATGTTTTCAACATATTCACAGAAGAGTTGTATATCATCTCCCTTTGATTACAAGCATTTAATTAGCCTGTTCCTCCAAAGCTTTTATAAATGTTCAAATTTGCATTTTAATCAGATGCTTCCCTTTTTCCCCCATCATTAACAGATTATAAAGATCTCCAAGAATGGCCAGCTAATTTGGTCATTATACAAGATGGACAGTTCTATCATAAAAGGTGCTGGCTTAGGGAAATTGCCCTCTTGTCACTGCTAGAAGAAGTGAACCTGCAGCATGGGAAGAAGATAGTCATTTGTATATATATATATATAACCACCTGTTCATGTTTCTGTTGCCTAGTAGGGGCAGAGAAACATGCCATGACAGCAACTACTTGCCTGTACCAAGCCTGGGGTGGCACAGCTACAACAGCGTACATCGCACTACAAGTTTCAGAGAAACTCCATGCGTGGACTGAGGAACAGCATTTCCTACAACCCTCATTATACAAAATAAAACCCGCTGCCATGCAGACACACCACAGTGACAATTCTGATATCCTGAGAACCACCACAGTGTCTGACCCTACCTGGAAGGAGATAAATCCTTCCCACTGGTGCTCTTGCGTGGCTGTGCTGTACATCCACTTCACCACCGAGTCTTTAATGAAGACAGATATAGCCCGGAGGATAAAAGAGGTGAAGAGGTTCAGATGAATATAATTCCTTGTGCAATGCAGATGTCTGTAAAAACGAAGAACCAGTCACAATCCACCACCTATGTAAAAGCTGCATCACAGGTAGCGCTGAAGGAGGGAACAATGAGCCCTGTTGGAAATCAGGAGGGACTAGAGGAAATCCCGTAATTTGAGGATGGCTGTAGGGATTTCAAACTATCTTTAGGAAAAAATCACTATCAAGGAAAAGACATTCAGAATTTTAGCCCTATGTATGAATGTTTGGTGGAAGGAAGGAGATCAGTGCGGAAGGAAAAAAATATTTTTGAAGTTTAAGAAGGGTAAAAATAAAGCCATTTTCAGAACACATATCTGAAAAGACTAAAAAAGTAAAGTTTCACATAATGCTGAATCTAATCTCTTTGAATTGACCCCAATGTCACTGCACAGCTTTACCTTTGCAAGGCTCTGGAACCGGTGTGCAGTACAGATTCTGGCTGTGGTCAAATCCACAGTGAAAAAACATCCAGCTGTAAATTACCACTTTGACAACAAGAGAAAAATCTGTATTCAAATTGCCTCCTGGGGTAATTGTAAATACTTCCTGTAGAACTAAAATGAACAGAATTTTCACCTCTGCATTCAGAATTGAAAATAAAAAAAAAACACAAAAGAAAAACATCCTCTTGAATTTCAGCAGCCAGCTGCAAAGACAGTAAAATTGCTTCTTGTCAAAAAAGAGCATGTTAAGTCATGTAAATGGCATCCAACTGCAGAGTGCTGCCAATGTTTTACCAGCCTTCTCCACAAACATTTTTCTTCCAGCACTGCAGGGTACACACTTTGCTTCAAAGGAAGCTGCACTAAGTATGATTCTTTTTTTGATGCTGAAAGATACAGGTAACATATGATAAACAGCATTTGTTCCAGCAAAAGTTTCAGTGAACTTAGGCCTTAAAATAGAAAAATAGATTTGGTCTGAAATTTACTGGTTTCGCACGGGAGAAGAAAGAGAACTTTGTTTTCCACAGGTCAAATAGAATTTTTTGCATCACTTTTAAGTCACAGCTTATTTCAAAGCTTATCCATGATTAATATTTATTTCCCTTTAACCCAAAATTTATTTGTTGCTACCCTTCAGAACTGCGACACATTTAAATCTGATTTAAAATATTATGTAAATTAGCCAATTGAAGAAAATACACTGCAAGTAGTCACTGAGTATTTCTGCTACAGGCAATGCAAGCTATTCAAATTGTTTCAGTCATGAAGTTATGGGCCTAATTCAGCTTTCGTCACCGAAATCACAGACTTTTCTTCTATTTCTTTCAGAGGAGGCAAAATTGGACACTAAAGATATATTTTTTTTCTGTTATATGTTTATTAAAACCAAATATAAAGGTTATTCTGTGGTCTAAGGACTTAAAAAGGCCTTCCTGTTACAAAAGTGGAAAGCATCAGCATTTTGGTACCATTGAATTAAATTTTGATCCCCATTTGTTGAGGTTGCACAGCTACTGAGAAGAGGCCATGGGGAGAGGTCCCAGTCAGAATCCAGCAACTGCAATACCTGTAAGGGTTGGTCTCATGTATTTAATGAGATCTAGGACCAAGTTTTCTCCAGATAGACAGGAAAGCACAAAATGGTTTGACAGCATAGTTTTAGCAAGGCTTGCAGCTTCTTTAACATCTCTGAAACCTCATTTTCAAAATCAGAAGCACACACTCGTGTGTGTCACAAGTCAGTCCCAGCTTTATAGTTAAAGGAACAAATGCTAAAGCTCCTCTCCTCAAAAGTCAGGGCATTGAAATTCCCTCTCTCCTGCCACTCATCAGTGACAAGCTTTGTTCCCTGCCAAAAACATGGACATCCTTCCTTCCTTCGAAAACTATATGATTGCACTCTGTGACCTTTACATTTAGCCTGCTAAGGTTACTCAAAAAGTGTTATTGATGGGTGAAACAAAGAGAAAACACTTATCCTGGGAGACATTTGGAGACTTCAAGACTATGTGGTGTTTTGTCAGATGAGTTTCAAAGTTGCACAGGTACAACATGTACACATAATAAGTATCGCGTGGCATTCACAGAGGTTGAACAAGTCTTTGCCTTTCTGTAGTCATTTTAAATCTTTGAGATCGCTAGCCTATGCTGATCCACTGGAAGGAGGAGGGATAATATTTCACAATGGTAAAAGGTATGGTACAATATTAGGTGGCTTGCGTCATTTTAGTTTTGGAAATTAGAAGCTAAAAGGCATGACTGATTTTTTAAATATGTAAGGGTAGGAGGGAGTGCCTTGCTTCCAGAGTGCTGGCACCAGAGCAAATGATCATTAAGTGCTAATGATGATTCTTTAGTCAAGGAAGAAAGTTTAACGATCAGGGCACTGGAAGTCCCTGAGCTGATTTCAAATAAGAGTACTGGGAGATGGAACACTACACTTTTTTAGGAGGCAGCCTCATCAGCGTGTGAGAGGGATAATGGGACCTGGCTACGTACAGCAGCACGGAGCAGGACTTCATGGCAGAGGGACTTCCTTCCCACAAGAGAGCAGTATCACATCTTTGCATTTTCTAAATATCAGCCTCCCCAAACAGTAGGGAAGTCTGGCTGGAATCAAGATACCTCTTGCATTTACAGAGGAAAAAAGAGGAATCTCTGTTGGAGTCCAAAGTGGGTTTGGTTGGGTTTTTTAACTTCTTTTCTTAACCAAACCTACACAGTGTAGCATTGGCATGTGCAACCAATAGTCTCTTCATTTTGTGACACTCCATACAATTTGTGGGTGCATACCTGGATGAATCCAGAATGCCAATCTGACCAGGTGACAGCAATTTACTTCACAGAAACTTTCCAAGTTTCAAAATTAAAAATTATTTTTAATACTGCAAAAGAAACAAGTATTTCTGAAAGTTCTCCAAAAAGAGAAATTGTGTCAAAAATCCAATTCTGCACTGACATACATCCTGCATATGAGATCTGGGAAATAGACTTGACTGGGCTTTATGCTCTGTGCAATTCCAAGCAAGGCAAGATGAAAACGTCAGTCCTAAATGTCCTCTCACACCTCAGACTGGTGCCCCATCTGCAAGGGGACAATGTGAGGGAATGCTGGAATCTCTCTCTTTTTCCATCTCTTCCAGTGGAAACTTCATTGGAATAAAAAAATATCACAACAAAGTATTTAAACTGATAAAAAGCATCTGTTCCACACATTCATACTGGTAACACTGCAAAAATACAGAAGTTTTATTTGTATTTGGAGAAGGAATGATTGTAGGAAGAAACATGGAAGTGACATAAGATAGAGGAATAATGAGGTAATGGAAGAAAGGAAAAAAATCAAATCCTTCTGTCAAAGTCTGATACTGTCATAGAGAAAAACATAACACTGTCTCTCCACTCTCTTCAGAGCTTTACCAGTTACCTGAATCCAAGCAGAATGGCAGTTGCTATTACAAGGGCAGAGAAGGAAAGAGCATATCCAATGGTATATATGATGGACAAATTCAGGAGCTGTTCTTCTGGTGCATCCTGAGAGCACATAAAGGAAAAAAAATTAAAAAAAAATAAAATAAAAAGGTAAGCGGAGAAAAGACAGAGTTCATGGGCTTCTGTTCTTTTCTGCCAGCTGCATTCTAACTTTTCTTAATGATAACCAGAAATCATTCTCTTGCTTTCAAGTTTAAACACACATATCAAATCAGTCTTCCACTTTTCGTACATTTCAAAGAAATAAAAATTTAATCTTAATTCCCCAGCTGCTCACTCAAACAGTTGGGCTTTGCAACTAGGCTAGAAAATAGATAGTGCGACATTATTTCATAATCAAGTTGGAAAGGCCTGAATTAACACACAAGCAAGTCTTAAACAAATGTCAGGAAGCACAGACACAACTCAGCCCTGCAGTAAAAATGGCAAAGGTGATGTTCTCAGACTTGAACACTTGAAGTCTGTCTCCTTATTGCTGTAATGAGGGGGAAGGACTTTCACTACATCTATACTTCAAAATAAAATAAGCCAGGTTTCATTTGTTGACTCCGAGACAATGCATGCCTTCATTCATATAACTAAACTTTTTTCTGCCCTCAAATAGCCTCTCTTCTGCCTCAACTATGCAATCTTCTGGTAACGAACCATAGCCCAGCACTATCTCATGACTTAGGTGTTACAGCACCACGTGGGAGGTAGTGACTCGATGTGAGCCAGAGCAGTAGGAATGCTCGCAATCCCCTGATAGTCCTGGGTTGTGACTCTATTCATATTTACTGTTGAAGACTTGGCCACCAGGACCCTTGCTTGAAAGTGCTGGCCAAAATCTTCAGGGAGAAGTACTTGAAAAGCTACAGGAAGATCTGCATTATCACACAGGCTTATTGCTCAGCCTTTGTGGCACATTCATATTCTCTGTTCTGGGTCATTTCTAAACACCTATCTTTGTCCAAGTAGACTCAGGCATTTTACTTCCCTTCTTCAAGCTGCTAATCCTGCAACTGACTCCCAAGATCTATGCTGTACAAAGGAATATCTTCAGAAATAAGTACAGCTTTGCACAGCCAGGAGGATTTAAGGTGAACATACAGGCTGTTCCTCAGCGATTTGCTAGGGTAATGTTTTAAAGGGAATGATATGAGAGCTGCCTTATGAAAAGAAAAATGTCTTCGGTATCAAAGCTCAAATTGCTGAGACGTGACAATTTAAAACATCTACACAGATCAAAATCACATCACACGTAAACAATGTTGTTTTATATGCATTCACTCACAAATCGTTTGGATTTTGTTTTTGCAGTAGTTGCAACATAATACACTGCTAACTTATCAAAACAACCTCTTGTTCTCATGTACAAGATGCATAAAACAAAGTAGGTTCTTAGGGGGCTCTATATACATTGGCTGTTCAAATTTCAAGGAGTGACACCACGTACACAGGGTTTCAGAACCCAGATCAGTTCATGGAAACATGGAGGCAGGTGCCAAATTATCAAGTTCTACCATTAGGTATCTCTCTCCTCAGCATGTCCCAACACAGCTCTGGAAGAAACCATAATGGCAAGCCAGGAAAAGTCAAACGACAAGGCTTACACTTTGTGTTAAGATAACACACTCTGCTGGGATACCGCAGAGCACGGAAGGGACAAGGAGTAAGGCTGCAAAGTAAAGGAAAAAGTTAAATTTAACATATCTGGAGAATTAAAAATTATCTGTCTTCTCATCTCCTTCTAGTCTGCAGTCTTGCAGCCATTTATTCCTTCTGAAGAACTTGGCACTGAGCAATGGAAACTCCAGAGGACGCAGAACCCATAGCAGTGGGGAACTGCATATACTTGAACTGTTTTGACTAGGTAAGTACTAGTTCCCAGTACTCTGGGACAGAGTGAGTGCACTCAATTTATGTGAAGAAAAGCATTGCCCTTAGAGGCTCACAGCAGTAATGGTATCCCGTGTCACGGGAACTCACGCAGTGCACTAGCTGACGCCAATGGCTGACAAAAATCCCCTGAAAAGTCCTATGCTCTTCTTCTTTTGGTGCCAGGTACCTCAGCTGCCTGCAGAGTATAAAGCAGTAGGGAAGGAAAACAACACTGACAAGGCCTAATTCCATCGCTTGTGGCAAATTAAGGTAAAGACAAAACCCCCTCAAATAAACAAAAAGCAGGGACTGCCCCCTGCCCAAAGGTGAGAGGCAAAGATCCTTCAGTTCGTCTTAATCACCTTAATAGCTGCTAACAAGACAGAACGAACAAATGGCCAATTTATTGTAACAATGTGCCAATGGAAGAAAAAGCATAGGAATAACAAGAGGTCACTCCTGTGGTTGGAACGGGCTGCAGCTGAGCCCCCTGCACTGCACAGCAGCTGGGACTACCTGGTTCACTTCTCTTGGCTCTCTCACGTACATTTAAACCCACTCTTGTCTAACTCTCACGTTCTCTTTGTTGAAAGGGAGAGGTCTGATGTCCCTTGCACTTAGGCTCACTGAAATGAGCACCCAGGATGAGTCAGTGAAGATTATTTTGACAGGACAAAAACACATGGGCATCAATGCCTATATTTGCCCTCTCCTCTGTTTTGTCCTAAACAACAGTCCTAAACAACAACAGCAGCAGGAGATGGAAACTCTTACCTGGTCAGAGGCCTCACACTCAGACAGGTTTCTCCAGGGCAAGGTTGAATTCTCCTTCAGCAGCCACGTCCCCTCCGGGGTGCAAAACCGGTAGACCTGCCCATGCAGCACTGCCAGAGATAAGAGGGACCACAGAGTTAATGGAAGGAGAGCCTGCTCATGGGGCAAGGTGTGCAGAGTTGTCTAAGGCTTGGTGCAACCTTTCTTCCTCGGCGTTTGCTCTCAGGGCTGAAGGAGAAGCCACAGTTGCTGGGGGAGTCCTTTGCCAGCTCCCTGCCTGCAGCAGATGCTGCTGCTGCTCATCCTCAGGAACAGGGAGGACATGGCTGCAAAGGGATCAGGTAGTGCCTGCTCCAGGACAACTGCTAACTGCTCAGCAGTGACAGCCTGAAATAGTTGGTGCCATCTTTGTGTGGATTTTAGAACATGCACAAATTCCAGTTCACTGAAATAACAGATTTTAAGACACACAATTTTGGAAATGTTAAGCCTCAGCTAGAAAATTCACAGGGAGAAGAAGGCACTCAATGAGTAAGTGTGCTTTTTCTTTTCTGACATCATGCAGACTCAGAGAAACCTCAGAACAGGTATGCTAACACAAGCTTCCCCAAAATGTAAATCCTTGTACAAACATCCGTGCTACAAAATGAAGCTGTAAATCTTTGCCCATGCACTCTTTTGATTCCTTCTGTCTACATGTTTGAATCACAAAACCAGTAATAAATAAAATGCCTTTCCAAAGTAGTTAGTAGCTTGGATCTTGTAAAAACAGTATGATGAAATGGCTTATCATAAAATTACATCAGACTGAAGCACCAAAAAAAACAAGGGGAAGGAGCATTTAACCACTGTGTATCAAAAGAAACTCTCTGGTGTCTGGAATACTGGGGAACTTTTACAGATGTACATAAGCAACCTGGAGAGAGTACTAATGAGAGTAATGATGGTGGCTGCTTTGCAAATGAAGTTTCTTACTAATCACAGTGCTGACCCAGTAAACTGACCTATGCTACGTTATGAAGTTAGTCCTCAGAAAGCAGTGTTGGGTCAGTCACTCAAGCAGGGTTAACCCCTACCAAAGAAATGTTCAGAAACAGACACATAACATTTTGAGGTATGAGAAGCTGAGTCAGGAGGATTTGGTTCTACACGGATATCAAAATACCTCCCAATGACAGCTTTTGCTCAGACCCAGCCTAGCCTGCTGCAACCTCATCCTTTTGTCAGCTCCCTCATTACTGCAAACAGGAACTCATTACAACTTGGCATTTCAATGGGAAAATATTAAAACTTATTTGAAATTATAACAACTCAGTAGGGTATTTGGATATTAGTTGACGACTGATAATTTGTTTGATAATTGTCAGTGGTAGACTAGTAGCAGGTACTCTAAGTGAAGAAAGATGTTTTAAAAAATAATACAGACATTCATATTCTAATAAGCCCTTTCTAATGAGTATGCTAAATGTTAACTGATAATGGTTTTGGTAGACATAGTCTATTTGCTTTTGTAATTGGTGTACTGAATACACCAGTAAAAGATAACATAAAGTTATCTGAGATGATATAAAAAATTAAGTTATGCCTCATGGAGGTTTTTCCTTACTATTAATGATATCTGTTTGCATAAGTTTACATAGAAACAGAGGGAGAGATTAGGTGAGTGCATGAACACATACATTCACATCCATTAACTGCTACAAATATTTTTTTCAACTGCTCTGTCTACTGCCAGTGCCAACCACTTCCTTTGGTCAAGATGTTCCTACTGTGGTAAAGATATCTCACCTGATGGAGGCTAGCAAATAGGAAAGCATCATTTCCCCCCAGTCCCCCTTAAGATTAACGGACAGCTAAAGTTATCCATACAAAATATCTCTGCAAAGGCAGCTCTAGGAATCAGGAATCAGTAAATATTATATATTACAAGCCAATGAAGCTGAAGTCCAAGGGATTAAAGTCCAGAGGGTCATAGGACTCAGAAATTCATTCTAACAACCATGGCATGAGCTATAACCAAGACGTATGACAAGACATGAGACATTACAAGATCTCTCACAAAAAGAAATTCCACTCTAGTCCTGAAAAAAAAAGGAAATACTTGCTAAAGGAGAATTGTTGGGGCTTTTTAAAACATTATCTCACATTCTCTGAAACAATTTATGAATATTTTCCCCAGTATTTTTTACTGTCAAGGTCTAACTGGGATGAAATCTGAGCCTCAGCGTATTTATTTTCTCTCCAAATCACAATGACTAATTTTTAATTTTCTTTTTATTGATAACAGTTCTTTTGAAATAATGAGGAAACTATATTGTAACCTGAAGCCTGGCATATACTGGAGAGTGGAAGAGTTTACAGTAAATGAAACATGAAATTTGTCATCAGACAGAAAGACAAGGCAATGCATTTAGATGTGAAGAAAAACATAACCCTATTACACTGGAAAGGAGAGTTCTTGTCATGTGTAGGAGTCACAAACCCTCACACTGCACTGACAGCTCTTACAGACTTCTGGGTAGCCACATGTCAGCTACGTCAGGTTGTAGTAGCTTCACCACTTGTCAAAACAGGGGTGTTCAGTGCACAACCCATAGGCACCTAAAGGCCAACTAGGCTGCCTGTATTCAGAAAGAGCCTTGAGCAACAAGCAACAAGAATTAATCACACAAAAAATCCAAACAGATGAGACTGCGTATGAAAGTGTGAGAGCATATACATGTCTTGTCTATGGAATAATTTATCAACCAAAATGTTTATGAGATAAAAAGTTTAAAAAAAAGAAAACTTAGACTTCAAGGCAGCATTGAGATTCTGACTGATATATGGAGAGTGCTCATGAAAGAGCTGAGAGACCACACAAGCCAGAACAAAAAGAACACAGGGCTGATGTCCTGAAGGCAGTCAGCTACTCTCGGGAATAAGAAAGCAAGTCTCATCATTCTGGAAATAGATTATTTTCAGTTATGTGTTGAACACCACAGAACTCACATGACATCAGCAGAGGTTTACTGTAGGGACTCTGAAGAGCTTGGAGCTGGATACCCACCACACATGACAACCATCACCCCCCTGCACCTGGGCACATCTGACACCAGCGCTGTGAAGAACCTGGGAGGCACCAGTCCATGAGGTGCTGGTGTCTCTGTAAGCTGTGTGATTTGCCACAGAAGCCGCCTCTAAAAGGAAGCTCAGAATCACAGTTCCATGAGTCCCAGGTTTCATACAGCACAGCTGCTGCAGGATGCACCTTCGGAGCTGACCACTTCTGAACTGCATCATCCTGCACCCACTCCTGGTTTCTCTCAGTCTCCTAGAAGCACAAGGCAAACACCTTCCATCTACTCATCCTCTGGGCAACAGGCTCCATCAAAGGCAGTCACCTGCTACTGCTCAAACACAAGAAAAAGGCTGATGATGACTGACAGCTCAGAAGAGATGTAACCTTAACTGAATGCTCTTCTCTGGTCTTGCCTCACTGAAGAGAGGGACAGACAACAGTTTCAAAATAACTGATAAAAAACTTGAAGTGGAGGACCTTAGATATTTTTTTATTTCACATACAAGCTAAATTCTCATCATTGCTTAGCGAAAGCAGTTCCAACTAATTTCAAAGGGATCCACTGGCTTTTAATCTTTTTTGATCCAAGCACTGCAAGTATCTTACCATTTATATTGCTCAGAGGAAAGCATGTGGTTTGCATCAAAGCTATCTACAAATGTTCTTAAAGCAATTTTTTCACAACGACCTTTTATGACTCCCTCTCTGCACAGCTGGTCATGGGTTACAATGGCAAAGATCTTCAACTTCCTAAAATGGATAAAGGGATAGTATTTGCATAAATCCTCTTTCCTATGGGCCTGATCCAAAGCTCACCAGGGATCTCATCTCCTTCAGCTTTTATATGAAGCCACTGTTGAAAAAAAATTCAGTTATTAATACATATGGAGGCAAACTAACGATGACATGCTTGGAGGTTGCCTGTGTGCCATAACAGAAGAAAGGCACGCACACAGCTTCCCCCTCAACTGCTGAGCAATTTCAGCTTCTTGCTTGCAGGTAGTTTAGTCAGAGATAATTCACATTTGTCTAAGCAGAGTGACTCAGGCCCTCTTACCTTTAATGCACTGCAAATACCAAACATACAATGATCAGCTTCAGTTCTAACAGACCAGCATGATGAACAATCTTTTTTGTAGGCTCAAGCAATTGCTGCCTCCTTGCTACCCTACAATACCTTTTTTCCTGTCTTGTAATGTTTTTTGTGACCACATAGTCAAATGCTTCAAATCACACTGATTACTACGTTCTAGAATTGGCTATCATCTTCTGCCAACAAACAAACAAAAAAATCTATAGCCAGTGCACAGGGAATTGGATTTTATTTAACCTGTAAGATAAATAGATTCCCTCACAAAGTTGCACAACCTCTGGAGCAGCAGCTTAATGAAGCCAGTTTATTTGAACAGCGTCAACCACATCTCATTAGAATTACAGGTTAAAACAAGGATTGATGCTCAAAACTCAGACTCTATAAACTGACAGAAGACAGACAGGAAAGCCCAAGAGTTAGCACTGAAGTTAATAACATCTATGTAGTTCTCTGATGAGCCTGTAAATCAAATCAAACACTACATCTAGCTAAACACCTTTATATATGGAGAAAATATGTTATCACATGGGCAGAAGGCTCACTAACATTTCCTTATTAGCCCCCTGTTACTAGAAATAAAACCAAATTAAATTACTCTTCTGCTTAAAACAACTAACCTGATCTGCATTTTACATCAGGGTGTCAAGGTTGGTGTGAGATTACTCACCCAACTGTCCCTGAGGATAAACTGGAACATTATTCATTGTAAAAACAAATTACAGCATGTCCTATCCAATCAATTCTATTCAGGCAGAGGAATGAGAGAATGAGAAAAAGAACAAGAGAGACCGCACGTTTTGTCTGGCTGCTGTGTAAGTATTGTAGACCTTCTCTGTTAATGCCCCTTCTTTATTTCAAGCAGGGGAAACATTTTAGAAAAGATAACAATTTTCTTCATGAAACAGGGAATCTGTAGTATGAGAGCATCATGACAGTCTTCAAAGCAGACTGGTTTG